CCCCCCCCCCATCCCCTCTCTCCTCTCTCTCACTCTCGCGGATCACTCCCAGCCGCACGGTTCTACTACTTGCAGGTCCGCGCAGCGACAATTACGCACCAAGAAGCCAGGCAATGAGTGCGAGGCGCCGGAGCCGGAGTGGGGTCGAGGACCTGTCATCCTCTCTTTTATTTTCAACACAGAGGGTATAATGGCGTAATTACTTCCCTTTTGCCTTTCCCTCCAAATTAGAACGTGTCAAGGACAATCATTTCTGTGTCCTGCAGTGCGTTCTCCAGGAAGCCTGCCGCGACACGCCACGCGGCGCCCGGGCCCTCTACTCCGAGCTGAGCGAGGACACAAAACTCTGCGCAGTCAGTCACGGAACGCGTAAAACTTTATACCGCGCGTGTCTCTTTGATAGACGTTGCGGGTTGCGGGTGGGTTTGGCTACATACTCACACTCACGGGCGCCAGTGCGCCTCCCTCACTGCTTGGTCGTAGGGAGCGTGAGGCCATCAAATGTAAACCCGCCCGCCCCGGCGCCCGGCGTGTGCATCGGAACAACTCGATGAGGGTGTGCCGGTGTGCCGGTGTGCGGGGCCCCTGCCAGTCCGAGATAGGCAGTCCCGCAAGACATGGGCGTCGTGCGGCGTTGCCACCGAGAGCGGCGCCCGGCGCGCGCCCCAGAAAAATCTCCATAAAAGATGGCACACGGAAGTAACAGGCAGTTTGGGGGCGTGGAGTGGCGGTGTGAGGATGGAGAGTGTTGGGGGCCTTCTCCCCCGCCTCGGGCGTTGTGATGAGATGCGAGCCAAAGTCCAGGGTAGGGGGAAGATTTCGGTGGGGGGGGGGGCTGCTACTAAGGCGTATGGATGGAGGCACACAAAATGTTAAGCGCGTTGAGGGCATCGAGACGGAGCAGGAGCTCGATGGTGGTGTCAGCGAATCGGTCGCCTCCTCTCCCGCGATAGCGATCAAACATCGCGCCCTCGCGCCCTCGAGGTCCAGGAGGTGCTGCCGGCCGATTGGCCAGCCGCCCCACCAATGGACCACAAGGAAGGTCCAACGTCGTTTGTTTTGGTGTCAGAGTCCTCTCTCTTGCCTTGTCTTGTTTAATGGAATTTTGCATTTGCTGACTTTGTCGACGGGGGCGTACGTCGCCTGATTGGCCTTTGCGTTTGTATGAAGTTAGACGAGAGCCTATCCAGATTGTTCGTCAGGAAACCTAGCCGGGCTTGTCGAGCTGTGAGTTACTGATGTTATTGTCATTCATGTTAAGTTATAACCTCGTTTCGGGGTGGTTACAATATTGGCTGAATTATGCCTCAAACAAAGGAACCCGGATTGCATTGAGCCGGATGAACTTGGAATATTGTTGTAACAGATTCAACATTTTCATTAACACCTTCCACCCTCATCTGATTTTTAATATACTGTTTTCTGTGTCAACAGCTATCTGTCAGTTGAGTGGAATATTCAGAGTTACAACTATCCAAAATGAGTTCCATTGCACCTCATGGAACGAATCTACCTCAGTCTAAGTCCAAAAAATCACTCAGACTTCAGATGTTCATGCCGGAGAGTTTAGTCCCTGTATTTCTTTTTGTTGTGGCAATACCTATTTCAATGTTAATGTGGATCGGTCACTTGGCCTTCTCATTTTTCAAAGAAACTTCCCGGCTTGATTGTAAGTAGATAGTTTTTCGTTTTTCTGTCATGAAATTTAACACTTGTCTTCACAATTTTCATCAAATTAAAAATAATTTTTTACAGCTGATTTAGCAGTTGTTCCGCCTACAAGATGGTTAGCCTCTACACTGATTCCTTTAGTTATTGTATTGCATGCTTTACGGAAGAAGCAAGTCAGCACGAGTGGAGCAGCTCTTGGTATGGGTCAACTATTTTTAATCTTATGTAACTTTTTTGTCTATGAGACTGATGCTTTATTATGATGTTAAATTTTCAGGTTCAGTTATTGCCTTTATTCTGTCACTGGCAAGCTATTCTTTCTTGGCCTGCCTTATTGCATTTTTCTTTTCCTCATCAAAAGCTACAAAATTTAGACAAGAGAAAAAAAAGAAGTTAGAGGAACATTTTAAAGAAGGTAATATCCTGCCCAGATTTTTTTTTTAGAAACTCAATATTATGCTACCTACATTCTGTCCCTTTTTTATCTAGGTGGTCAAAGAAATTGGGTTCAAGTTTTGTGCAATGGAGGGATGGCTGCACAACTATCTTTCCTTTATATTCTTGATTTAGGATGTGGCGAACGACCCATCAACTTTGTTGATGATTACCGAGGCTCTTGGCTTAACCTTGGTGTTCTAGGTATGTCCAAATATCCTGCTATGTGTTGAATTTGAGTTCAAGCAAATGGTAATGTGTTACTGTTCTCAGGAGCTTTTGCCTGCTGTAACGGTGATACGTGGGCATCTGAACTTGGTACTGTTGTGGGGAAAGCTGACCCATATTTGATCACATCCTGGAGAAAGGTGCCTAGAGGTATATTCATTTACAATATTCTTAATTCAAATCCCTTTCATTATTTATGTCTGCTTTTAAAAAAATGTTATGTTGCAGGGACAAATGGTGGTGTTACCATAGGTGGCCTAATTTTCTCAGCAGCCGGAGGTGCTTTAGTTGGAGTTTTTCATTATTTAGCTACAATAATATTCATAGACTCTCAACAATTAGTCTTATCACCACCTCAATGGCCCCTCATTCTTGCTGGAGCACTGGCAGGTTTCTTTGGAAGTTTGCTTGATTCTATCCTTGGAGCTTCATTGCAATATTCTGGTAAGTATACTCTTCTGAAAGGTTATGGACTCAATATAATTTTCTTGTCTTAAGCAAAGCTTTTATAATTTTGACTCCAGGTGTGGACGAGAGAACTGGAATAGTGGTCGAAAGGAGTGGTAAAGGTGTTCGTCACATCAGTGGTATCCGCTTTCTTGACAATCACTGTGTTAACTTAATTTCTTCCATAACTATTGGTCTTCTGACACCAAGACTAGCCAACATATTTTGGCCAACGGGATACTGATGATTTTTCTTTTTGGAATTTTCTTTTTGGCTCTTAGATGCTGAAACTATTTTTTCACTTAATTTGTAATGTTTCTCACATTGTGAGATTCATTGCTAATCCATTTCTAAATTTAGAGCTATAATTTCAGTTAACTGCTGCCCCAAGTTTTGAAGCAGTTTCTAGGAAACTGAATATGTATCTAATGTTAAGCCATCATCTCAAGAAGACTGCTTCCACTTCCTTCCTAATGGTCCCAAGATTTAGAACTTGTGCAAGTGTTGAGCAGTATTTTATGTTTCCTAAAAGAATTAAACCACACTTGTATTAGTTTAGTGGACCTGACAATTGTCTGATGCAGCGGTTAAAGTTATTGTTATTCCATGTTTTACTTTTTATGAAAATAGACTTACTATGTTTTTATTATCCTCAATAAGGGACCTTATCATGTTAAGTTTTGTTTTTTACCTCTTAACAGACTGAGTTTTTGTGAGGTGCTTATACTGCCACTGAAAAGTACCAGAGATTTATTTTCCCTCAATTGGAATTCTCCTATAATCGTAGTACTACAACATGGCTCTCTTAACTGTCATATCCTGTACAGTTGTTATTTATGGTCAGCACCTGATATATTCCTGCCAACATTTTGAAGCTCTGCTTCATATCTGGTTTTCGTGGTCTCCCATGTGAGGCAAATCTATATTTTATTCTGCTGTTCATGTTTAAAAATTTTATAAAAAGATTATCCACATGATTATTATTCAGAACAAAGATTTATCTGATTTATAAAGTCTTGTGCATGGCACCATAGTTTTCATACCTAATTATTGCCATGTGTTCCCTTTGGCTTCTTGGCTGTGTTTTCTTAATTTTAGTCAGAAACCTGGACTGATGTGTTTTCCCTTCAAAAATTGGCCAGTTGTCATGGATTATTGAGATGCTTTATTTGTATTCTCAACATCTCAATACCCATTTTAAGTTTTTACCCATAGTTTGTGATTTTCTAGTCTTAAAATTTGGAATTGTACTTTAAAATGTGTGATTTGATCTAATAAAATTCAGGAATAATGCCAAGTATAATTAGCTCACCCATTTTTAAATTATTTTTGAAGTTTCTTGTAGTCATGATTTGCCTGCCTTGCTCATTAGAATACATCTTTTTTTTTTTATGTATAAGTAAACAATGCATTTTGGTTGTGAACTGCTGTGCCCCTCATACTCTTCAACTGTATTCCAAAAACTACTAAGATAATGAAAAAGATTAAAGGATACATCATTCACTGGTACATGATTGTTCATTCAATTTTGTGCATGCACAATGTCTCCAGTGTTTCTCCTAACTCTGGAAACGTAATTCCCGTCTCTCCCTTTATTTTCTTTCGTTTTCCAAAAAAAGTTAATTGCTAAGCTGAAAGGTTGCTGGAGCGCGGGGAATTCAAAGTGGGTGGTAGATAGGGGGGGGGGGGCTTCGACTGAATTTGTCATCGTCATTAGTATGGCAATTTTATAACCTCTTCCGAGGTTTGGGTCGTGTTGTTATTTACAAGTGTTTGGCAAACTTTGGACTGAATTTCCTTGGAATTTCTAAGTAGACCTTCTTTTTAGATCAATTTTATTCATGACCCATACGGATTCTTGACAGTACCTGAGAAAACGCTTGTTTTAAGTTAAATATATCAGAACCCTTTGAATTTCGTATCAACAGAATGGCTCTAGTGTCATATGTGGATATATTGGAAGTTGTTGGGGAACTGAAAGATTTCAAAGTCAAACTTGTTGAAGGAGAGGGAATTGCTAATAGAGGTGGCATTAAAGAGATCAGAGTGAATGAGAGGGGACCAGGTGTCAGCGATATATCAGCATTGTGTGAATCAAACGTAGAAGATCAGATCCCATATTCTATTTCAATTTCTGTAGTCGAGGAACCACGTCTCTTGCATTGTGAATGCTCCTGTCTTGATGGAAAGTCTGGAAAGTGCCAACACGTAGTTGCAACATTGATACATATTCATAGGTGGGTAAAATCTTCACTGTAAAATCTGATCAATCCGACTTCTGAATCTCTGCATTTAATGAAGCTCAATGTCACCTTTTTCTTTTTTTTCCAGAAATAATATTACTATTGAGGGTCTGAGAGGTTCAAAAGAAGAAAAAGTAAGAAAGCCCCAGGTAGCAGATCTAACTTGCAGCTCAAATGGTAAGTCATGATTGAATATTTGTGGAAAATGTCCAGATAGTGCGTCAATATGATATTGCGTTTTGTGCTGCCCTTACACGTTGTAAATAGACTTGGGTTTCTGAGTATATGTGAGAAGGGTAAACTATGTTTTAAATGACAAGTTGACAAAGTGCATATTGTTGTAAATGTTTCAGCTTTTCTTGGAGAAGAGTTTTCAACAAATACTTGCCCATCTTCTTTAGTTAGTTTAAGCGATAATTCTGTTTCAAGAGTCCCAACAAATTTGGAAGATAGAAAATTTCAAGATGAAAAGAGCAATATTTTGTCAGGAGCAACTCAGCCAGTCACAAAAGCAGAAGAGGTATGTAATAAAATCAACTTCAACAAATGGTGTTTTGGGGGTCTCATTGGATTTTATTTTACTTAATCAGAAAATATTCCCCATAAAGGTTATTAGCATGGAAACAAATATGGATGCAGAACTTGTTGAAGACATTGTGACATTAGAGAAAAGTATGAATCCTTGCAATGAAGATGGTACACCAATGGATGTGGACCCAAATCTAGTTCAGAGGTAACTTTCTTCTACCAATCTATCAAATTTATTTGCTGTGCTTTAGCCGTCCAAAATGTCTTAGTCAAATTCTGTTACAGAATGGGGCGAGGTCACCGAAAATCAGTCCCTAATCCAAAATACACTAATGGTATGTGATAACAAGTAAAGTGTTTAGTCAAGTTTTAGACGTAGAGGTACTTTATTTTAACTTTTAAATTTCACTTACCATACTTACAGAAAACAAAAGATTTACGTGCTTGGTGTGCTCTAAAGGATTTGGAAAAAAGGCACATTATGAAGAACATGTGAGGAGCCATACTGGTGAGAAACCATATGTTTGTGATATATGTGGTCAAGGATATGCCCAAAAACGAACTCTTTTAAAACACAAAGAGAATGGCCAGGAAGGAGGTTGCAAAGCAGGAGTGAAACTTAAATGTCATCTCTGTGGTTGTTCTTTTAAGAATCAGTCTCAACTTGACTCTCACGTGCTTAGCCACACCAGTGATGGGGACCTTAAATGCTTGGACTGTTCCAAACTTTTTACAAATTTAAAAGAATTAGAAGTACATAAACAGGTGCATGGTCCAGCAATATCAAATTCAACTAAAAGTAACCAAAATAGAGCACAAAATGAGTTTATGTGTGATATTTGTGGAAAGGGTTTTCAGAAATTAGCTCAACTTACAGTGCACAAGCACACGCACACTGATGACAAACCTTTCAAGTGCACACAGTGTCCAAAACAGTTTGGTCGACTTAGTGCGTTTAAAGCACATAAGCATGATAAAGCGGACAGTTCTTCATCAGAATCAACCGCCACAGCAACTGCTTCTCGGAAAAGAACTATCATTAAGTGTGAAACATGTGGTAAAGAATTTACTAACCGAGTCCACCATGAGGAGCATGTCAGGAGTCATACTGGAGAGAGGCCATTTCAATGTGTGGAATGTGGAAAAGGGTTTGCTACAAAGCGCTCGCTAAGAAACCACAATCACCTGGGAAAAAATGCCCGTGAACGTCCGCACATGTGCTCACAGTGCCCTGCAACTTTCACCACAGGCTTTATGTTAAAAATTCATGAAAAAGGACACTCTGGTGAGAAACCTTTTGCTTGTGATGAATGTGGGAAAGCATATCGTTCTCAACATGTGTATCAAGATCATCTAAATCAACACAAAGGGATTAAAGCTCACAAATGTAAGGAATGTGGAAAGTGCTTCACATGGCGAACATCTCTGTGGGCACACACAAAAGAGCATTCAAAAGAGAAACCATTTGAATGTGTTCAATGTGGTGCCAAATTTGCTGAGCAGACCGAATTGAAAGATCATTGGGAAGTTCATTTTGATGACAAGCCCTTCCAATGTCCTGAATGTGGAATAGGATTCATGTTAGAGGCTGATTGTGAAAAGCATCTTGAAATTCATAAGATGTCACCCTCCTATTGTTGTACCAAATGTGATGAGAAGTTTGTGTGGGCTGAAGAACTGAATCGACATATGTATTCACATAAAGAAAAGAAAAGGTGTCTATGTCCAACATGTGGACAGACCTTTTCAAGTAAAGGCCATTTAAAAGTGCATATGCTTATACATACTGGAGAAAAGCCCTTTGAGTGTGAAACTTGTCATAAACGCTTTTATACCCGCAGTCTGATGAGGAAGCATGCAGTTTTTCATTCAAATGAACGGCCATTTGAATGTGCTCTTTGTGGTGATAAATTTCCAACACAAGGAATTTTGCGTGCACATGTAAGAACTCACACTGGAGAAAGACCATACTCTTGTGAAGAATGTGGAAAATCATTTCCTCAAAACACATACCTTAAGCGTCACATGTTGACTCATACAGGAGAAAGACCCTTTCCATGCCCTCACTGTGATAATGCATTTGTCTCTCGCTATGACCTCAAGATTCATCTACGTACCCACACTGGTGAGAAGCCTTTTGGTTGTGATGAATGTGAAGAGCAATTCTATGAACGTGCACAACTTACTGCCCATCAACGGACTCATACAGGGGAGAGAGCATACTCGTGTGATCTGTGTGGGAAAGGGTTCAACAATAGCAATCATGTGAAGAAACATTTTGTGCGTGTTCACCCAGATGTAGCACCATTTTCTTGTTCAGATTGTGGAGAAAGATTTGTTATGTGTGAGGCTCTTCGCAAACATAAAAAGAGCATACACCTTTTAGGTGCAGATGTTGTGAGACAGTCATCTTCTGAAGAGGAATCTGCTTTAGATCTGATTTCAAAAGAAAAAAAGAAAGACCCTCTCAACCGCCTGATTGAGGATAGCCAAATTTTAGTTGAAGAGGAGTCAGATACTTCTTGTGATAATGTAAATCAAGCTGACTCTGCAGTTCTCCCCGAAGGATATGAAATTGTTCAAGTTAATCTAGTGGATTCCTCTGAGCTAGAGAAACTTCCTGAAGGTTACAGGTGTGAGACTGTAGAGGTGTATCATGCAGAATCCTTAGCAGGTTTTGAGGAAAGTGGAGAGTTTCAGGCTGTTAGCATAACTTCTATTCCAAGTGATATAGGTGCCACTCCAGTTAACCTCTCCTGCCGCATTGCTGTTAAAAGGAAAACATCATTGTAGTATAACTTCTCATTTTTAAAAAAATTGTGTACAAAATGTATAAATTGTCTTAGGCAGTAGTTGGTACCATTTTGAGGTATATTAAACTCTAAGGAACAGTTGTTTTAATGCATCATTTATTATCACAACCTTGGACCAAACTAGAATCATTAAAAGGTGCAACTTCATTCTAACACAGTTCTGTAACAGATGTATTAAGTTCACACATTGCCCGGCGCTGTACCTTTTAAGCCCTATGCTTCCAGCCAAAACTATTTCAAGTTTTAAATTAAAAACTACTGAATTAATCTTGGTCCCCACTTAATTCAGGATTTCTTAACTAGTGTTATTGCAAGGCATTCTGTCTTTGAAAAAAGAAGGTAAAAATCAATACCATTTTAAAATGAAGCACAAAAATAACAAAAACATCAGAGCAATACAATATATTTTTTACAAGAACTCACAATAGAAAGTTCAAAAATGTTACATATAAAAATAGCACTCATTCCTACCAAGTGAGGAAAAACAATTGTCTTTTCTTTCTGCAAACAATGCAGCAAAAAACTAGGTAAAGTAGATACACTAGCAAATCTGACAGCCTTTGGTAAACTTCATGACAATTTAAGAATGCAATGAATTTTGACTATTAATGATTATGGAACAAACTCTTCATTAAACGTATGGAGTAAAATGCCTAGTAGTAAAGCTTCTTGGTCAATATCAGAGACATTTTCTTAAGTTAAACACATTGTACAATAATGTACAATAAAGTCGGCCCAATATGAAGATTAAGTCCACAATTCTTACAGAAAAATTGACAAAATGTTTAAATTGTATTGCATTTCCAAAAATATTGTTTACAACTCCAATGCATGGCAAAGGCATTTCAAAGTTCACATAAACTTAAAAACTAGAGCAAACAAAATGGAATGTTTGACCCTTACATTACTAGACAATAATGAACATCACATCACATCTTGTGGAAGGCACTTGGATTACTCATGAGCTCAAAGTACAACAAATACTGTACTTCTGTTATATTTATTCACAGCTAAGTTCAATTAGTTGCACACATTCTCAAGTGCACAAATTGTGAACTAAAGAAGGGGAAAAAAGCTCATAAAACACAGCAGGAGGATCAACACTTATCTTAGTCCATTCATTTGTACAGTAAGTAAAATTGGCAGTCTTCTTAAATGGAAGTTTAAATCACAGCAAAAAGTCATATGCTACTATAATGAAGATTTTATCAACAGATAAAATGATAGCTCTAGATGATTCGATTTGCCCCTTTTTCTTAACACAAATGTTCTTCTTACAAATAATTAACAAGTAATAAAATTTATTTAAAGTGTTATAGAAATTTATGACAAGATAAACTACCAAAACAAGAAATTAACTCTTCTTGGCAAACAAATGGCTTCTTTGTTGCAAGATTTTTAATGCCAGGTAGTTTCAATGTTCCATCTTACTAGGAGTAGTTGCTGATGATGACCCCTAATTGCCTACTTATCTGATCCAGGTACTTAGACTTCAGCGGTAGAAAGAACGTTCTCTCCGCATCAACTGCTTCACACTAGCACCAGAGAGGCAGAAAAAAGAGAGTTAGGACTAGTTTATGTGGATACTTCAATGATTTCACTAAACTTACTCTAGGTGTTGACGTGTTTGCAAAAGTATTCATTTTTGGTGAGGCTGCCTTTCTAATATCATTATCTCTGAACTGAGAAAGCAATGGGAGTAGGTGTCCTTCTGTGCTGAAGATATACCGCCCCTGATTCTTATTGACAAAATTATCAGCATCAAAGAGCTGCAAAGAGAACATAAATGTAGATTCTGATTTCATATTGGAGTATAGTATCCTACAAAGATAGTGTGGTAAAATAATTAACAATGCAAACTTGAAATGATACCTACCAGAAATAAATATTTACAGGTTTCACTAAGAAAAAAACTTTCCATTCGATCCTCAAGACTATGATCTAAAACACTATGAATTGTTGCATAACCACATGTAGTTCTTGTAAGACTGTTCAAGCTTCTGAGAATATCTTTCCCAACATGAAGGTAAAATGGATTTTTTGTAGCCTAGAAAAGTAATGTGTAAAATATCAAGAGCAAGAAGGTTTTAAGCAATTGGGAAAACTGAAAATGAACATACCTGGTATAGAAGGTATGTAGACTCTATGAGCTCTGGACGGAGAGGGTAGAATGCCACATCAGCTGAAAGTTGTTGCCAATTCCAGCGTTCAGGTAGAACTCCATAATACTTCCAGATGAAATAGTACAGTGCATGTGAGCAAATTGCTTCCTCAACGTCTCCGTGAAGAACTTGTATGCCACTAAAGGCTGCTTGGAGACTATCAATCCATGATGTATGGACATCTCCGCTTTGCATGTCAACATTGACATACAAAGGATGATCACCTTCTCCTTTGTTGCAGTGGGGGCGTCTGGAACCAATAGTTCACAATCTGATAATATGTTTGCATTTGATCGAAAAAAAACGACCAAAAAAAACATAAAATACCAAAGAAGCTTGAACACATAGGTAATACGAAAAACAGAACTTACCCTCTTCGCATATATTGTTTAATACTGGCATATGATTCAGAAAACATTTTATAATCATCCTGCTCACCAAACATAATGTAGGCTTTCAAGAGATATTCGTAAAATGAATCAAGACCAGCACCTAAGCCACTTAAACGGCCAACCCATTGCCCAGATTCAGCATTAATAACATTTCCTGTAACAAAACTGACATAACTTAAAACTGAAAACTATAAGCAAACTAGTAAATAAATATATCCTTGGTAAATGTAATGGGTAAATCTGATTATGGTATAATGTACCCAGTAGTCCAGTAGTTTTTGAGCGTAGATTCCATAGGGTTCGGCTGGCTTTCCTCGCAAGTTCCTCATACGTAGGATCCTTCAGTAGTCGACTCAGTAATCCAAATTCTAAAACCAATGATCCAGCACCAGCTGTGCAAGTTTCAACCGATTGTGCTGCAGAGCTCAACACGGAACGTCGTCCATGACGCAGATTTACTCTGGGGTATGGAATGCCAGTAGCACTCTCAGTGAATGCAGGAAGCAGTCGGTTGGCAAGGTCTCGCGCAAGATGCAGTAATTCGTCATTATACCACGAAGGTTTCAATGGTCCCAGCGGTTGACTGGAATCTGTCATTAATAAATGAGCTGACAAAAGAGCTCCTAGTACCCTGAGCAAGAGTAAGAAGATTAACATCACAATCAAATATTTTTAAAAGTAAAAAGAGAAAAACAAATGCAATTAAATGGAATTACCTAATGTTTGCTTCAAACACTTGAACAACATTATCTTTATCAAATGAAACATTTTTTATGACTCGTTCCACAGCCAATTGAAATTCAGAAGCATTTCCAAGGACAGCTAAAGTGTCCAGTGAATCAACTAATGTCAAACTGTAGTCGCCTAGTATGTCGTTGATATTAATATTGGACCTGCGTTGAAGAGGCAAGCAGTCAACTTACAATAAACAGTTATTTCAGTAAGCTAAAAAAAGCACAAATCCCAATAACTGGGAAGAAAACTCAGAAAGAAGAATCTCAGTTGACAGTTATTTTGTTTTTCCAGATTTAGGTCAACAAACTTTAACCTCAACAGCATGATCTTGACTTTTGCTGTCAACTTACGGATTGGCATAGTCTGGGCCACGGCCTGAGCACATAATGGGATTTAGTTCATCCAACGGAAAGGCATGTTTCATGTAATTATTGTACCCAAAGTAAAACATTTCTCTCGCCTCCTCACGTAGCTGAAGGCGGAGATCGTCGGGAAAGTAGCCATACTTCTTTTCCAAGTCATCTAATGGCTTTCTAAATATATCTAACCCGCAAAAACATGACACACAGAATGTAAGTAAAACTAGAAACGTTGCAAAGAGCATAATTCCCGGCCTGTGGAGCTCGTACGGCTACTTGTGCTTCATGATGATGTGTCAGTGTCAGTTTTACACCGCGCCACGCAACAGCTTTCCAAACACACTCCCCTTCATGAAGACGAGCAAGATGTATTGCATACAGATGGAATATTGTAGAGAGTCCTTCTCAAATTCACACTAGAAATCGCGTCGCTACGTTTACAATCTGGAAAACTAAGATAAGGGAGCAGAAGATACATATTTGATTTTCCCTCTTCTCTGTGTTCATTTGTTTTCACTCAATCTTCATCTTTATTCAGATTTAGTTTGCGTTTCAGTAGTCATTGGGATCAAAATGGTGTAGAAAAACAGGCCTGTTGACGTGTTTGTTGGTTGAGTTGTGATCGACAATTGGGTCAACTCGAATGAATGAACTGCTGGACCCGAATGACTGACTGGAGAATGGTTTCGTCACACCAATATCCAGTACTTTTATGACGAAGGATCCTTAGTTCATATCCCAAGAACGCTGGAGTCATCTAGGGTAAGAGACATGAGTGTCCCAAATTCGTGACTCACATTTACCTAATTTTGTGACACATCTGCCTCTCCGACCATTTTTCCTTTTTTCTGACTGACCAAATATTGTCATTACCACGAGAATTATCAGGGAAGATATTCCTCATCATGATAGCTTTCTGTTTCATGTCATCACCAGTACCCCCAAATTTCCATTAATCACTGTCACTCTCCATTTCTTCTCCTAACGTCGATTTGGTTGACTTGGTTTACTTTTCATGAGTAGGATTGTCTCATGTTGTCATTGTTTCCCTGTTCCCTTTTTTGTCATCTTTTGCTAAGGAATCTTCCGCCTTATCTGTTCTCTATATGCCATCCTCGCACCTCGCAAACACTTGTGTATTGCACAATATTTTTATGTGTGGCATACATTTCACATTGCATTTTATTAAGGTCCTCTATCTTTCTTCAAAATGAATTATCTCTGACATCTGATTTTTTATCACATTCTTGCTTTCTTTCATATCTGTGTCGGTAGGTCGGTCACACTCCTTTTCTATGAGAAAATATTAACTACAAACCTTAAAACAGAAAGCAATATTTTAAAAATAACATTTAATAGGTACTAACACACCTCAGTTACTTTTTAATATTTCTTTTATAAGGCCTTCCTTGTAAATCTATCAATATCTGCATTGAATTGTACTATAGTATGTCATAGTCGTAGTTGTTAATTCTTGAAATAACTAGAATCTAGAATCTTTTAGTTTCACCTAGTGTTTGTTTAATTCTCTGTTTTTTACTGTAAGCAAAGTCCCATCAAACCTGCTGTACCTACTTGTTCTTCCCTATCAGTTGAATTAAGTGTTGGAAAGTCATTTTGTATGACATATTTGGCTGTCTTAGTTCTGTAGTGGTGATGGATGCTTGGTAGAAAACGGTAATGTGGTATAAAACTGCACCAAATTAAGTTTTCATTATGTACAGGTCCTCAAAACTTGAAAAATAAATAAACAAACTTGAAATTAGAAGTACAAAGTTACTGGCTATACTATACCAGTTCAATCAATGGGATTTTGCGCCACAATGGGTCGTCGCAGATCTAACAAGATTCTGCATTGGCGAAAGAGATGGTCTCACAGGTAGATTGCTTGGTCGTGATAAACTAACTAAAATTCTTCGAAAATATTGAAAAATTAGAATCTGCTTTGGATTTTATAATGGAGAAAAATAACAGTATCCCCCAAGTTAAAGAGGAGTGCAAAAGGTTTCTCATGAGGAACAAAACTGTAATTTTATGATACATATTTATAAGAAAGTAGGTTGACTAAAAGAGTACTTCTTTCTGGGAAAAATCCCTTCCTATGTGCAGTTTCTGTTCTAGTTGAGAAGCCCTTGCATCATTGTAGATTTAAGCGTTTCCTAACAATCTCTTTAGCATCCAACCTTTTTAAAACAAGGTCCCTTTTTTTGTGCATGGCTCAGGGCTGACATCCGCAATGTCTTTAAATGTCAGTACAGTAATTTTCTTTTACATATGAAATCAAAGAACACGTTCTGTGATCTTGACAGTTATGCACTGTTCCATTCTTCTTCTTGTTATTTATGTTTGTGTTTGAATGTGAGCATGGTTTTGGACACCCCTGCATTGTTTGTTACCTGTACAATTTTCTTAGCCTTGCTTTCCCATTCTGAATTTAAACCTGTTTTCCACTATAATATGATTGATGACAGTATATTACTAACAATGAGTTTCTCAGTTCAATGAATAGTTTCCCCCATTAAAACTACAATCTCTTAAATAATGTGACTCAAATGTGGAGTTTAGCTTGCTCCTTACAAAACTGAATCTGTGTTTTTTTCCTTCTTTTTACCCCTAAATACTAGGAAATTAGCTATACAAAATATTGAAAAAATATCTAACTATGCAAGTGCCTCAGAAGGAAATAAAATCTTGTAGGTACAAAAATGTTTTTAAATTAAATTTTGAGCATGACAAGGCATGGCATGATGGTCAGATAAAATCTATCTTGCTTGTTCTGTAATTGTTTTTGTGTAATGCATGTATCCAAATGAATATGTTTTGTTTTAGCAATCTTAAGTGTTTTATTGTCTTTTTCCTTCAAAAGTTAGTTTAGTTTGTGATTGCCAGAAAAATGGAATTTAAGTACCAGATGTCACATCTCATGTTAAAGGGCATTTCCCCTAAAATTGCTCTATTTTCTCTTTGTTTTTTGTTCTTAGAGCCTTCTCTGAAGTAGTACAGTGCAATTTTAATTTTCTTTAGTTTCTGTAATTTTTTGATTAACTATTGAAGCTGTCACTACTCTTAAATGTGATCTGAGGGTTCTGCTTTAAAGAAAAGTTTCGATATCTAGTTTATGATGTTTCATGCTGAACCTTTTAGTTTCAATGTCTATATCTGAGACCAAAAGCACTGGTGTGATTCACAGTGGCCTTGAGAGTTGGTGGCAAACTTCATTCTGGACGAGCCCTTCTCGACCATTATCACTTGCCACCATGTCGGTGACTCTAATGGCTGCATCATGCGATTCAATCGGCACCTGCTCTTTGGACGTGGATGCAGAGTCACTCTCCGACTCTCTCGTCGAATCTACTCAAGTTGAATCTTCACATAACCACCACAATACAGGTAGCAAAGGTGTTGCAGTATGTTTTTGTGTCGTAGCTGTACTAGAGGGATGGGGGATCATTTGTAATTCAGTGTTGTTTAATGAAGTGATTTGTATTCTTTTCATTATTATTACTATTACTTTTATTATTACTATGATTATTATTATTACTATCTACAAGGCATAATTCTCATTTTTTGTTACATCTTTTTGTATTTTTACAAGTTGAATTTTAATAGTGGTTACTTGTGTAGACTTAATGAAAGTGTACACCCCCATTCATTCCTCATATAGTCTGTACTATCAGGGGTCACAATTCACCTACTAATCTGCTTTTTTCACATCATCATTCTGTCCCTTGTCATGTAGTTTATTTTAATCTCCCTTCTTCCCTAATTTCAGATAACTTTTTTGCCTGTTTCTTTTTAAATTTTCTATGGTATTTTTGATGCAGCAAATTTCCTATTGCAAGTCTAAACTGTTGTTTCATTTTAGTACAGTATATTCTATCTTCTTTCAATTCCCTCAGCATCCAATTGCTCCCTGTTTATGTTTTTGTTTTTAATTTTTTTTTTCAAGAATTATTAAGTTGTTCTTTTTTGTGTCTGTGTGTTTATTTTTAATCCTTTGAGGGTGTTTCACCTTCCTTTAAATACTAAGATAACTTTTAGATTTTGTACTTTTCTCATATGCTTTTGTTTTGTGCACAGGTGAACCTCGAGCAAATGCTCCATCACTTTCCGAGCAAACTCTACATAGTTTGTTACTATCTGCTGGTACAAACGGAGGACAAAATCTTAACAACTCTGACAAGTCTCAAACTAACTTCAGCTCACCTAGTCCAACAAATGCAAAGAAACCATCTTACCTCAATCTTGCCTGCTCCATTAGTGGCTACGGAGGAATAACTACTTATGACAGTAAATTGAGGGAGGGTTTCCGTTCTAGAGACCATAGTCCTGGCAAACTAGTTGGTATTCAGAACGGAAGCAGGGAAGTTAGTCCAGCCAGAGGGTTAAGTGCTGGAATACCAAACTCTGGCAATTATTTGACCGCTCCTAACTCTGGTAGGTTGTGTTGGACACCAAGTCCAGTTGGCGGACAAGTGTCAAGCAAGACCACCATGAAGAACATCTCCCCAACGTTTGGAGCTGGTCAACGGATCAATGGCTCAAATGGAGCTGATCAGACAGATGCAACAGGAAATTTTAATGCTAAGCGAATCTCAGATCAAAGAAATCGATGGCTGGAATCAACGCTTTCACCCTCCGAAAAGAAAGATTACCAGAGTGTAGTATCTGTATTCGAAACAAAATCAGGGAAACATGGACTGACTACAGAAACATCTGTTGAAACAAGATATGAAGTTAGTTCAAGATCTCAGTCAACGGTAGTGAGTTCAACGACCGTCATTTCGTCTAATGCTATTCCTCAGAACTACTCAAATCATTTCCGAACCGAAAGAATTGTTCCGATTGCTGTTGGTGAGTTAACTGTTTTGTTCCCCTTCCCCCCATACTCATGTGGAGTCAGCCATTGTCAACTCTTATGTGTGCATCTTGTTACAGGAGGAGACACATTAGATCGTCATGCTTCCATGTCTGGTAAGTGTAGTTTATTGAGTCTTCAATGTGGTTTCAGTAGATTCAGTTTGATCATTTCTGATTAATTAATATTTTACAGATAAAAAGGTTTACACCAATGGTTCTGCTCTCCATAATACTCCAGTCTCCACCAAGTCATTTATCCAACAACGCATTGAGCGCCTGTACGGGCCTTGCTCTTTAGCCCAAGGCTTTTTTCACCGTAGTCACAAGGTTAGTCTTCTGTCTTTTACAAATTCATTTTGTTATAGCTTGATGTTGAACTTGTCATGGACTGTGACTAGAAATATTATTTCCTTTTATAACCAATCAACTCCCTTTACAATTTTTCATTCTTGTTGTTGCTCATGGCAACAGCTGACAATGTGTTCATTCTTCATTCTCATGATTCGCAGAAATTGATTTGATTCATTGATTCCAATTCACTTTCAGAACCCATCTGCTCTTCCCCCAAGCTTTTTGGGAACAAATGGCCTAGGTTGTCAAGTAAAGCTTGAAGGAGAGCCTAATTTGGATAAACCACAGAGCTCTCCTGAATTGCCAGTACTTAGACATTTGCGCCCAGAGTTTCGAGATCAGCTTACTGTTGCTCCTCGCCGTAGTTTGGGAACAAGGTATATTTATAGAATTTTTAACTCTTTTTTAATGTTAATAATATGCATGGCTAATTTGATTCAATTGATCACAGATCATCTAATGGTTCCTCTCCATCCAATTCTGTGGTAACCAAATCAACTTCATCCAATGGGAAAGAGGAGTATGTGTCAACTTCACCATCAATTCTACAGAGATCTACAGAAAGCATAGCAGATCTACAACCAGCTGCACCAGAAGTTGTTCTTCCTCAGCAATCACCCTCTAATTCTCCAATGACAAAAGTTGATGAAACTGTTGTCAACGAACTGGAATCCAAATCTGTTCCAAATGTTCACTTCAGTCAGGACCAGCTACAACCACAACCATCCAAAATTACTGAAGAGCATGTTTCCTCAGCTGTGTCAGCAGTCTCCAAAGAGCTACCAAAGGAGGATGAAAAAGAAGAAAATGCTGGTCACAAATTCCTCAAGGTAAGATCTTAGAAAGTATCATTACAAATTTTCCTTTTTTTGTGACTATGGTTTATTTTGCATCAAAAATTTGTATTTTTTTGTTCATTATGATTCCTTCTGTTGTAAAAAGATTCGGCAGCAAACGATTGAGAAGTTGTTGGTGCTGGCTGAGAAAGCTGAGAAAGAGATAGAAGCAAGTGGGAAAGATGGAAATGCAATCCTTTCAGAAGAAGCTCTTGGACATCTGCGGGCTGCAGCTGGAAAAGCAAGGCTTTTGGTCACTCAAAAAATGGTCCAGTTTGAGGGCTTGTGCCGCAAGTGCATTGTATGTATCATCATACTGAGTTTTCACAACTCTTTTCAATTTCTGGTCCTACTCAGGTGCTCTTTTTTTCTCCCTCTAGAATCAACGTTCTGATGAACAATTTCCAACAACAGCTCAGGATTTACAGGGTTTCTGGGACATGTTGCTTTTACAAGTTGATGAAGTTCACAACACTTTTCAACGTCTTGACAAACTTCGGGCAGTGGGTTGGTGTGAGGTGTGTAATTTAAGTTACTGGAAGATTCTGGCCAAAAACGAATATGTGGTTCATTTTTAACTTGTTTGTCTATTTAGGATAAATTAACATCTGAGGATCAATCCAAGTCATCTGACTCCTCAGGGCCTCGTACCCCAGCAAGCAAAAGAACCCCGCGGACACCAAAATCTGTCTCATCCTCAGCAAAATCAGCAGAGGCAGCAGCTCTAAGAAAACAACGTGAGGAGGATCGTCGTAAATTAATGGAACAGCGTCGCAGGGAATTGAAGCAAAAGCAGCAAAGTGAGCAGAACCCTGCTTCCTCTGGTGAAACTGTTGAAATATTTGGAGCTCAGTCTAGCTAAGAATGGTTGTGCGCCTGTCGCGCACTTCTTGTTTTTGTACTGCATGCCTAGGAATTTTTTAGATTCAATTTTAACCATGGATTCAGATATGACCACCAATTTAGAACCAAACTAATCAGAAGGAATCTTTTTAATACCTGTTATTTTGTATACAAAAAAAATAATAAATCTTTAGAGCACTAAAGTTACCTTATTAAAATTAAAGCAAGTTGGCCGGCATGGAGTGAGCTAACTGTTTTAGTGTCCATGTTATTTTTGTGGGTAAAGGGATCAGCTGGTCAATTACTACAGTTCCTTCACTGTTGAATAGAAAATATGGAAATCGTGTAAAATTTAACAAATGTATTGTTGTCACCTAATCAAAATGACTGTTTTTCTGAAGAAACTCAGAAGTTTATTGGCTCACAAATAGCTATGAATGCAATTGCAGTGGTTTGGATTATTCAAATTGCACTACTTTATATTCCCGCAACTTGAAATAATAATGGTTGTGTCACTGACAAATAAGACCCAATCTTTAACCTTTACTAAGAAGATAAAAGTGGTTTATTCCTTGAATATGTAATGTGGTGGGGTGGCCGGGAATTTAAAGCTAAATATAACAATGTAGAGCAATATGTAATCGCTCTGGCAAAAGATAATCTTTATAGCTTTCAAGTTCATTTTTATAAGGCATTAATTAGTACTGTGCAATGTGTTCTAGCAAGGTAGTTTTTTGTGCTAAATGCTGTGTAAAGCTCAATCATGGTAAAATTGCCCCTAAATTGTTAGAAGAGCAACTGAGGTTTCATTTTTCTGTTCTTTAAAGTAGCATCACATGAAAAGACTCAAATAATTTGCCAATTCTTCATCAATATGTTAAATTGTAAAATTTACTCTTGCATTTAAAACTCAAATCATGAATGAACTAATTTGATGGCCATTTGAGATGCCATACTGGAAATTTCATACAAAGTTTATAGCTAAGAAAGTGTATTCTATATGTCTGTGTGATACTAATGTCACTCTTGTTTTGATTTTCTGACAGTTTTTGCTGAATATAGACTAAAACTGCAACCATATGTCTAAACCGGTGGTAATATGTTTTCCTTGGGATTTACTATTTTTACTGCACTTTAAGCTGCTTATGAGACTCTTATATTACCAAAGTTATGCATGTCTGTTTGAACATTTTGTTCCTTAATTTAAAAGTATTTATTGATATAAGTAATTATGACTGTTTTTCTTTTTTATCTTGTTTTGATATACTTTATTCCACTACATCCTTTGATCGTACTGTTAATCAAACATTTTGTTAGCAGCTCATATATTTGTATCTTTGCACATTTTACATTTGTAGGGAAAATGAAGTGTTGTGGTACATCACTTCAATCTCTGCCTCCTGTAATCTATCTTTATTGTGACCAAATTATTAATTTTAGTTATCAAATGATCAAATATTAACCTCATGTATTTCTCTTTATATTTAATCATGAAGTTTGACTGATAGTGTTGGATTGTGGGTGCTTTGTGTCCTCTAAAATGATGTTAGAGTTAATTTTTGTATTTTAATTTATGCACTATTTATATATTTATATGTATTGTAATTCATTTATTCATGTTGATACCATTTTTGCAGATGTGGACAGTATTTATTTCTTTCCTCTTCGTTCTATTCATTTTCTTGAGAAGTGGTTGCATCATATGTAAAGGAGTTTCAAATACAAATAATTTGAGAAGTTTTCAACTAGTACAAAGCTTTTAACCTTTCCTTTCTATGTGTATGATAATTTGGGATGTGTGAATAAGTTCATTTTAAATATTGACAATCCTGTTTCTTGATCTGATTTTCCTTATAAATCCCATTTGTTACATTCCTATTCTACTGAAATTTGCTCTTTTCAAATGGAGGCCAGCATGCACTGAAAATTTTAATCTGTAAGGGTTTAGAATCAAAACTTAGCCAAGTAGCAGTTATGATAAGCTGTGGGGTCGTATTCATTTTTGAACTTGAATGATATGCTCGGCAAAGAGGGATTTACCTGCATGTGATGTGATTATTTTTCATTTGGCATCATAATTAGTAAAAGACTAGATGGTGGATCCGTGTGAAGCTAACTTATGTAGATTTAGTTTTCTGTTGTGTGTGGGTTGTGTTTCCAGAAAATCAGAGTGTAACTTGTTAGATTTTGAGGTAGTTCCAAGCTTGAATTTATTCTACCCCCTTTATCAGTTTTCAGTATCTTGTCTGTTTGTGTTATAAGCAATATCAAAACGTAGTTGGAAGGTCACCACAAACAATTTTTCACCTGCCATTGCCAAATTTGAGAGGGATCCACACTTACTGTTCTATGTAGAATCTCATACCTAATGGCAATGGCTCTCTTTTAGGAATCCTTTGAGCCCAACTTTCGACTTGAAGTTATTTTGTGCTAAAAATTGTAACAATGAATCTGAAGACGGTCACCCTCTCTAACTCATATGATTTCCTCAGAACTACAGTAAACATTCTTTTTGTTTGTAACTGTACCCGTTGTCTGAATTAGGTGTGATTGAATGTAGGTATGTGCTTAATGGTGCTTGCTTGTTTTGTATTAATAGCTTTGACAAATGATTACTATGTTCACTCCTTGATGTGCACAATGTCTAACCATTAATACAGTATTGTTTGTGGGTGTACAATATGCAGTTTGCAATGATTTGTCTGGAAAGTATTTAAACAACTATATACGTACTCATCCTGCATAGTATTTGGTGCTACAGAACATGCTGTAATAAATTTGCCATGTACTACAGAGCTTGTACCTTGCTTAACAATTCAATAAAGAATGACCCTTTTATTTTGTAGTTTTTGAAAACAATGAAATAATTTATAAAATTCAAATGACTTGTTCAGTACTCTTCATCAGGTATTTCTCTTAGTCCCTCACTGTGGTGGCCTCGATCAATCATTTCCAGAATAGCTTTTGCTCCACTGTCTTTATCTAAAATGCTTCGCTTGCCATCCTGGAAAAGCAACAAGTTGTTTCATTCATCTATCAACCACACTGTGACAGCAAACAATTTTTGACAAAAATGTTCTTACGGTTTCGTCATCTGAATCCTCTTTGGGAGGTGGACCCAATGCCCATACTTCCATATGTTCTAAAGAGAAGTCCTTCTCTGCTGACAAAGAAGGCATACGATGGTATGTTGAGCACCCTGGGCTAGAGTGGCCTTTTCCAAAGTCAGCATCAATCCACAAACCAAAGTTTTGTAACTGCCCACCCATACCCTGTAAATATGAAAATCATTTTTTATTCTTAAAGTTCAAATGCTCATTCATTTTTGTAAGGAAAAATTACTCACTAAACCATTGGGCATTGTTTGCTGATTTACATTCAGATACATGTGGTGGTCATTGTATCCAGTTGCAGTGTACACTTCTGAAATTGGCCGCAATTTAAAAAGGAAACATTTAGTATCGCCTAGAACAGAAATTAGCTTGGTAAGAGAAGCAGAATAAATATAAGGGAATCTTATAATTTAAAACAAAATCATGAACAGATTTCCAGATGATTAAGTAATTTCTCCTCACACATATTACCTATAAACTTGGGGCCAATCCGCCAACTTTCAGATGCAAATCCACCAAATACATGCTGGTGAGAGTCTTCAACAATTATCAGAGTTGGCCCTTTGTTGGTAAGTTTCCCCAGCATAGAAGTGAAACTCTGTCCATGAATTTGGGAGGAAAATAGTAATGCCCACTCTGACCTCAAATCATGAGGTAAGCTGTTGTTAATGAATAATACATCACACAAATCCAATATCTAAAAACAAAGCACACACACAAAATAAACAATAACACAGATCTCTGGAAAATTGTAATTTAGAGATCTATCTTACATACAGTAGGAACTGCTTTCAAATTAAAGGAAGACGTGAGCTGTGGAATTGTATCCTCTGGAATGGATATATGAAATAAATAACAAAATGCAATCTTTTGCATTAGGTAAAAAAGCTTGTCCTTCTCTATCCATTTTGAAATTCGCTGAAACAAGTATCTGATATGAACATCCAAAATTATAAATGTTACATTATGAATGATGCTACAAAAGGATACCTCTTCATTATCAACTCCTTGTGTGGCATTGAGACTCTCCACGAAGTGATTTGAGACTAATTTTTCAGTAGTTGTTGCACTAATAGGTACACCTTGACTCTGCCAGGAGTCACTAGCTGGGCTCTTGTGCCTGTGAAATATATTTATTATGTGATAGGCATACTGTAAATAAAAGACAAAAAATAGTTGTAAAAATTATTGGGTGGTTGGAAAAATTTTAAACCATGTTCTCATTTGAAATTTCCATTCTAGATGTACTTACTGTTTTTACAGCTTCAACTAAGGATGGTTCTGGCAAGAAATGCAACATATACTGAGCGGCAGATGTATGATCTTGGAAGACCATAGCATCAATTAAATCTAAAAGGGATGAAAAAGTAGCTGACCGATGCCCTTTGGATACGATTGCCCAAATTTGGGCAGGTATGGGGTTATCCAGGTCTTTCCATGACAAGTTCTGTAAAGTGCGAACAGATTATTGTACGAACGTAAAGATTAACAGAAAAAAATAATTATGCGGCATCAAAAATTATTATTGTTTCTATTTTTCTACGGAACACATAAATTGTGGGTAACCTAAAAAATTGTCATTTTTTACAAAGCAACAGATCTAAAGGTCATTCAAAGTTTGAGTTCCTTAAGGCCAATCTATGTGCTCTTACATTACGCAACCTGTCTTCTGACACAGAATCTGTCTCTGATTTTAAACCGAGGCGAGTGGCTAGGGCTCTCCCATCACTTGCTGGGATGCGTCGGAACACTCTGACTTGCTTGCTGTCATTGTTACCCATTGTGGTTAACAGCTTAACCGCGCTCCCAGAGAAACGTTCAAAGCCGCTTGATTGTCTTTCTGATTGCCACTGCCACCTCAACTACACGTAAATTCAAAGCATTATCGTCTGCTGACACTAGCAGACGTCAAGTCGCATCACCTGATTAGGGTGCGCCCCCCACCCCTCCACCCCCACTCCACCCCCACTCCGGTCCCTCCACCCATTGGAAGGAGCGGGCCCTAGCGACACGGCTGCCTACCTGGCTCGTCAGAGACTTCACCGCAGCATGGCCAAGATAACAAAAACAATATTGTTCAACCATCATGGACAGGCACTATTTGCCTAGTCTCGCAATCTTAGACAAATCCCGCTTGCATGCGTGGAATGTATTACACTGTGCAGACAGCTATTGATATATATGAGTCAGACGGTTTCATTTCAGCTGATCGCATACCCATACGTGAGTCCCCTGAAATCTCATTCACCACACGACACCATACACCTTACAGAAAATTTTCTAGATACTTTTATCTCTTGCAAACCTTTCACATTATGCGTGTCCACTATCCCCCGCCCAGCGATGAACCGGGCCAGTGGGCCCTCTCTTGCCTTCAGCTTCTCGGTCTCGGCCAAGGTTTTATACTCCCCCCCCCCAAATCCCCCGCCGGCCAGCCCGTACTCCGAGCGCAGCAGCAGCAGCTGAAGATGGACTGAGGTGGACCACGGGTCCTCTCCCGTCCTCCACTGCAGCTCACCTCCTCCGTCAACATGACCTCCTGGTCATATGTTGACTTAAACAAACACACGAGGAGACACACATGTGTGGATTACACGTATGTGATCACAAACCACAATATCATCATCGTTCCGATGGTCGTCGCCGCGCCTCTTTAGACGGCGGGCGAGGAGGGGCGCAGTGCAGGGGGGGCTTCGTGAAGGGTTCGGAGCAGATCGAACCGATCGATCGCAGGACCCTCCGGGCCCTCAGCTCCGGCGGCAGCCCAGCCCAGCGGGAGCGGGGCCCGGAGCGGCCCGGAGCCGAGCCACCGGAGGCTGTGCCGGGCCTGGGCCCCAGGTCCAGAGAGCAACCTCCTCCCTCTTCCTGCCGCCCTGTTACAAATCCAATCAAATGCGAGCACCGTGCCCTAATAAAACTAGCCAATCGGAAGCCATCGATTCGGGATCAATAGCCGGCGCGGACCCGATCGCGCCGTTCGCGTCGGCCGCGGCCAACGAAAAAAAGTGTCATGAATATGCTCCCATTTCGGAGCAGGGGAGCAGAGGCGGCGAGGAGGTGGGTCTGCTGTGGGCCAGGGCCCGGAGCCAGGCGGCCTCCGCCTCCGGTGGGTGAACCGGGTCGGGCAGGTAGGCTGGGCCGGGGCCTCCGGCGCGCCTCCGGAGCGGCGGGGTGAACGATCGCGAAAGGAAGGAAGGGGGGGGGGGAGACTTCTTGCTCCTTGCTCCTTGACTTGCTCCGGGCCAGGCTTCCTCGCGGCACATGCCACGAAAACTCTTGAAAGATGACAAGCAAGCCAGCGAGTCGTGACCTAAATTAAAATTGTTACCGTCGATATAAACTGAGGTAAATCCGGAAGATACGAGGACGTAGGGTGGACAATTCGCCCAACAATTTGTTCGTGACATAAAAGTATTCGAATGGGTGTGGTTTGTTTTCATCCCATGCCCAAAATTGCTTCGAAAGGTAGATCTTTACGTTTTGCTTTGAACCTACAAGTCAGAAAATACAGTACTATAGCTGTCTCCGTCCTCCAGGCGCAACTCCTCGCATCCTGTCCTCTCTGTCTCTTTCTCTCTCTCTTTCCCATGCAGGCTGGAGGTGCAGAGGCTCCGGGCCTGGCTGGGCGGAGTTTTCGGGGCATTGTCCTACTCCTTACCCCTCCTCTCCTCACCCCGCGCCCCGTGCAGCGCTGTGCCATGGCTGTGCCCAGCCCGGTGTGGGGGGGATTGTTTTCGGCCATGGTGGTTGAGCGGCTCGGCCGGCCTCAGGATGCTCCTCCTTGCACGCCGGTGCCGCGGTGCACCTCCTGGCTCTGCATGAGCTCCTGGTGGAAATGTCCTTAGAAAATCCTTAGGTTCCTGCCCCCGGGGAAAAAAACGAAAGTGGTGTTGTCCTTTAGCCGAGCTTGCTCTCGCGCGTCCTGGGCGGGCACCCTGCCTGAAGCCCCTTGCACTCGCACGCAGACCACCCGGCCGCACGCCTGCGCGACGGGACGGCCTACCCCCCAGGCGCCAAGGCCTCTACGTCTAGGCGGCTGAGCCCTCGCCGCCCTCGTCTCACCTCACCTGCTTCGCTCGGGCGTCCTTTTCCTTTTCCTCCCAGTCCTTGGTGGAGCTGCCCCCCCCCTCTTTCAATCCCTCCTTCGCTGCATCGGATCCGAGGAAATTGTAAGTGGAGGAATAAGAAAAAGACGGCGGTCGCCTCCACCCCCCGCCGGCCCGGGCCTCACCTGGGCCTCCACCGCCCCGCGCCGCCGCCCCCTACCTGCCGCTTGCACCTGGCCGGCGCGTCGCCGCCTCCAGTAGACCTCCTGCTCCTTCTCCGCACCTGGTCCGCACCATCGCCACCCCAACCCTTTCGTCCTGTCGCGCCCACGGCCCCAGGACGCGCCAGGACATTCGGTGGACATCGCGACACGCCCTAAGGGCTCATTACAACACCTGAGATCGCAATCAGAGTTATAAAGGTGTGAAAAAGGTGACCGGCGATCAGGAACGCCACGCAGGTCGCCTGGTCCTACTCGAAACCTGGGCGCGCGCGCGCGTGGCGGTGGCGGTGCTGGAGAGATGCTCGTCCTCCTCCCTGGAGCAGAGGAGAGACGATCTTCCGAGGAGAGCAGCATCCGTTTGGTCCATTATGACCATAAAAATGAGAGGATGGTCTCGTTTCAGAGCGGGCCGCCAGAAGGGCGCAGGAGGTGGACCCGGCAGTGTTGTTCGGTTAGTAGTAGGCCCTCACCTTTGTTACCTGCCCTGCGCTACGCTGCACCGGGGCCCCCGAGGCCACGCCCACGCCCCACCACGCCGCCAAGGACGAAGGAGGCGTCCAGGTACGGGGCACACCTGGCTGGGCCGGAGTGCTCCGTTGTCTGCCTTTGTTCGGCTGCACCCGGTGCAGCAGACCTCGTCCTGCACTCCCCCCCCCCCCATTTTCTTCACCTCACCCTTCGTTCGCAGTCAAATCATTTGAATCGTGCAAACCATGTAAACGTTGCGTTTTTTAAACGTAAATTTCCTGGTATTTTGTTAGAGGAAGAGTTACCAAATTTTCCCAATTTTTAAAACGAACTTTTTGTCAGCTGAGTGGGATCGGGCTGGTTGGCCGCGCGGGGTCCGTCCCTATCTCACGTTGGTACACCTCGGACGCTCCCTGCGGCCTGCGGCCACGGCCCTGGCTCTGCGGGTGACGAGACAAAAGCCGAAGGCGGAGAGGAGAGAACGAAAAGAAATAAGAGGAGCAGAGAGACACGGGCTCTCCTCGGGCCGAGGAGGAGGGTCCAGGGCCCCGCCGCCGGGCTACGCCGGCCGCGACGCATTCTTGTGCCGGCTAGCGCTGTCCTCTCCACTCGGACCGACAGACTGTCCTCCCTGCCCTGACCGCTGCACCGGCGCACACTACATACACAGCAATACAGTCCAGCACACTTCGACTGCTTCGCTCCAGCTCACACGCAGCATATGCGGGTGCCTATAACCATGGCCACGGCCCAGAGCACACGCACCGCGCATCTCGCCGAGAGAGAAGGCCCGTCCGCTGCAGTCTGCTGTCGCTGTGCTCTCCATCTCCTTCAAACGGTGCCTTCACTATTGTCTCCCACGACGCGAGCAGGTCGCTCGCCCCCTGCTTTAGGTTTCCTCGTTCCCTACGCAGCCCTAGCGACACGGCTGCCTACCTGGCTCGTCAGAGGTGAGCTGAGCAGCCCCCCGCCTCTCCCTTTCTTCAGGTCGGGTCGGCTCGGACTGCATCGCCGGGCCGCCGCTGCATCACCTTGCACCTGGGCCCATCATAGTGCATCCCCGGGGTCCTCTCCCTAGTCCACCTCGGGCAGGTCCACCTCCTGCGCCCGGCTGCGCGCCTGATGAAAAACTCTTCAAAATGCACACAACGTTTGTTAACCCTTTCATTAGTGCCTCCGGCGCGCCTCCGCCGGGCTGTTATTTTGGGCGGGGCTCTCGACGCGGGGAGCCGACAAGGTGTGAACATTTCGAGACGGCGCTCAGGATGCGGCAGGAGGTGGACCACTAGAGGTGGACCCGGAGGGGCAGACTCTCCCGAGGCTTTGCCGCCCGAGTCCAAGAGCAAGGCGAGGTGGTAGGTGAGGTGAGGTGGCCGGGGGCATGGCCCAGGTAGGCCAGGTGTGCCCGGAGGAGCCCCGGGGCGGAATGCTCGTTCGGAAACCCTCGCCGACCGCGCGCGTCTTCTCCTCTCTTTCCCTCGCCGGGTTGAGGAGAGGGTGTGTGAGCGACAGAGAAAGAGCGCAGGGTTCGTTCTGACGTGGAGGCAGGACGAGGAGAGGATGCTGGGCTTGGCTGGACCCGCAGGCACGGCCGGCCAAGAGAGGGCCGCAACCACAACAAAGTATCCTACACTGACATAAATAATCTTTGAATCGATTATAAATCAATGAAAAGTCGACAAAACATAAATGAACGGGCTGAAGTGCATCCTCCTTGACCATGAGAGATAAAGGTTAAAATTTACACAACAACACTTCATAAATTAATTATTTTTTGAGTCTCCGTCTTACAACTTCTTTACAGACTTACAACTTCTTTACACAACTTTACAGAAACACAAATCGGGCTCTCCACGTAAGTAATACATAACAATTATTGCAGCAAGCTGCTGTACCCTCGCAAAATTTTGTTGAGTGGAAATTTTAAAGTCAACAACAATCGTTCGGCTCAAAACTTTATCCGTTCCCCTTATGTTAGTTACGGTTCTGTGAGAATCGGTGAGACGAGAATATTCGTAGGGGGGAGTAGGACGAGGGGAAGAGGAGCAGAATAAAAGGAGGCGGGTGAGGAGTTCGGGGAGGGGTGGTCCGTGGCGCGGCGTGGCGCGGAGCGGCGGAGGGCCGTGGTTGGTAGGCGTGGGCGCAGCTGCTCCAAATGCGCGCTTCGGGCCCCGCCCCGCCCCGCCCCGCGGCTACCGTGCTGCTGCTGGAGCGGGGA